AGGATGAGAAATTTTGTTTGGGGCCATGAGGGAAATAGAATTAAAATGCATGGGCTGAATTGGTCTAAATTATCTGCTCTAAAGGAGGAAGGTGGTATGGGTATCAGGAGAGTCAAAGATTTGAATATTGCTTCAAAATGTGTTTTAGCTTGGGACTTGTTGTTAACCAAGGTTAAAATTTAGGTTGCTTGGTTCAGGAATGCTTATTTGAGAGATACTTCTTATTGGCAGGTGGTGCCTAGGGTTGTGTCATCTTCTATCTGGAAGAGTATTATTGATGTGAGGGATATTGTTAAAAGCAATTGTACATACATTATTGGGGATGGCAGGAATACAAAATTTTTCATGGATCCATGGTGTAATGGAGAGCTGATATCGGAGATATTTAATCATAGGATCTTGTCTCATTTTAGTAGAAATAGAATGAGCTGGATTGGGGACTTTCTTATAGCAGGTGAGTGGGATGCAAATCAGTTTGATGACATTATTAATGAGCTGTATCAGTTCCTAGTGCAGTTTCAAATTAGGGGTGGATCAGACAGACTTGAGTGGCAGGCGAAGGAGTTTTCTTTTAAGGCTGCATGGAATGCATGTAAAATTAGAAGAAATGAAGTGTTTTGGGCTGACCTTTGTTAGAATGGGGGACGGCCAAGGTGGTCTGCTCATGCAGTTCTTGTGATGCAGAGTGATATTTTAACAAGTGATTATTTACAGTGAAGGGGTTTTAGCATGGCTTCGAGATACTAGTTGTGTTATAGACATATTGAAGATGTGGATCATCTTTTTTGTTGTTGTGACTTCACCTTACAGGTATGGATCGAGATTGTTGCTGTATGTCAAGGGCAGTTTTAGAAGTATAATATAATTCAAGGGATGGCTACAGATTTCACTCAGAAATTTAGTGTGAAGAATGTTAGGAATAAGTTTTGCAAGTTGTTGTTCATATCTACCTTTTACTTCATTTGGAAGGAGAGGAATGAAAGATTTCATTCTGATAAGTTTTCCAATGCAAATGAGACTGCTAAAAGTATTATTTGGGAAGTTCAAGATATTTTAGGCTTAAGTTTACATGATACAATTTTGATGTTTTCCTAGCATAGGAGAAGTCAGAATTGTTTAGCTGTTGCTTTGGGTTGTTTTGGATAGGGGTATGCCCCTATGAGTTTTATGTACATTATTGTTCATATCTATGAAAATTTTTCCTCCATTTAGGAAAAAAAAAAAAGAAGTAATGTAAGCCAATGAAAAGGGTAATTTTGAAAAAAATCACTACATTTCAGATTTAATGATGGTCAACCAAATAATAGAATGGTAATAATCATTCAATTCCATAACAATTCACCGTGTCACACCAAACAATGGAATAATATTCTTATTCCATTCCATTCTCATTCTCATCCTCATTCTATTCCGAGCTGCATTCCATTCCATTCCATTCTTGCACACCAAATGTAGCCTTATGGAGTTGAAGTGAATAAATTCAAAATTACTAATAACCTAATACATTTAGAATTACTAATTCAACAACAAACAATCAGTCATAATTCAAAATTCAGCCACTATAAAAAAAAAAAAATTTAATTTAATAAATTAATAAGACCTAAGAGAATTAAGAGTGGAATAAGATTGGTAAGTGCTATAAACTTTAATTTGGCATAAATATATAAATAAATAAATATGTATAATATAATGGTTCGGTTCGGTATTGGAAGACCTCAAACCGTGATCAAATCAAATTTTTTATAATTTTACAAATTTAGAACGTGACCGAATCAAATAATTAGTAAATTAAACGAAGCAGTACTATTCGATTTGACCCAATTTTTGTGTACCCCTACCCACAATATTACATATACGGTCAATACTTCTCCAAACGAGGACTACCATTAGGGCTACGCCGCGTTTCATCCTATGAATCGATTTTTTTTTGATTTATTGTGTTTTTTTTTTTTTTTTTTCTTTCGGAAAAGTTATTGCTTTATGACAAAAAGTTCACTGTGAATATAGTGCTCCACAAAACGGAAAGCAACCGTTTGTGTCAGCTCAACAAACTATAAGCTCAAGCCTTGTATCCATACTTGTTAGCTATAAACAATGCTGATTAGGGTTTTCAATCTGTCACGACATCTTTAAATCCAACATGAACCCAAGACTTCACGCATTCCTTTTTCCAATTTCCATCAATTTATTGTTTCAAGAAACCTCAAACCCTTGACCACCAATTTTCACTCATAGTTTCCAGATTAAAGAAAATGGCGATTATGATGATTAGGGTTTTGAATCTCTCACGATATCTTCAAATCCAGTAAGAACTCTAGGCTTCGCTTCATTTTTTAATCAATCTTTTGTTTCAACAAACTAGATCGTCAAATCCAACCTCCAAAACCCTAGATCACCATTTTCCACTGGGAGCTCGAAATTCCAGAAAGCCAGGGTTTACGAATTCAAAAAAATGGCGATAATAGGCGACGCTCTACGGCAGGCATTCATGCCAAAGCACGAGTACGAGAGTCTCCGCGAGGAAGACCGAGCTTGGTCTAGATTGCAGAGACCTCTTTTGATGGGTGGTGTGGCACTAATTACAGCTGCAATAATAATTTCCACGTTTATCAGCTTGAACATTGTCTTTCTCGGTGAGAATGGGAGGCGGCCGTTTTGTTCCAACCGGCGGTTGCAGCTGCTGCCGATTAACGCTTCGAGCAGTGGGGATCCGGATATTTTTCCGGGAGCATTTTACCTTACTGATCAAGAAACTGTGGATTTTTTCTGGATGGTGGTGTTCATTCCTTCAACGGTGTTATTCTTTGCTTCGGCTGTTTATCTCATCGCAGGTGACATAATACCACTAATCACTTGTTACTTTACTTTCTTTTCTTGTTTTTTATGTGGATTAGTATTGTTGGAAGTGAAATTAAAGTGATAGGACTAAACTTCATTTTAACTTATGCAATTGAAATAAACAATGTAGAAGGATTAAGAGATTTAATTGATTGGTATTTTGGGCATAAACTCTATACTAGCTTGATACTTGAAGTCAAGTGAGGATAAACATAAGGGAATTATTTGCAAAGAAATTGGAAAAAGGAGTTTTTGTTTGGCTTATCTGTGTGCAAAACATAATCCAAAATACATGTTTTGTGGACTTTATTGTTGTATTGCTAACATTTTATTAGTGATTTGAGAAAGTGGATGTTAATCTATGGTTTGATTCTCTTGTTGGCAAATGTAGTTGAATTCTTGTTAAGTTCTTCAAGCACTTATCATAGTTTGGAGACAACCAACACGAATGAAATAACATTTGAAATGGAAGCAGTAATGTGGTCCAAGAATATATGGGATATGGGAGGGTGAATGATTTCAAGTATTAAAAGCATTTCTTGATGAAATTACCAAATAATATTAATTTCATTGGAGATAATTAAGAACCACATTGTTGTTTGTTGATAACACAATCGAATTGCGGAGGAGCAAGTGTTTATATATTGTTAACAATCATTTATTGCTTTATTGTGACTAATTATAGTCAGATATTAAAGGCTCAAATCTATTTTTCGTTCCAATTATGAAAATTGACTCTTTTGTTACTATTTTTATATCTTTCTCGGTTCTCAGTTTCACCTCTTAGAGCCTTAATTCACAAAACCTACTTCGTGATTTGATACCTAAAAAGCTTTAATCAGCATTATTAAATCTCCTACTATTTGGGGATTCTCCATGTTGTTTCCAAATGCTGTCTATCATCTCTTTCCCTAGGGGAAAGAGAGAGAGAGAGAGAGAGAGAGAGAGAAATTCCTTTCCACGAGCTGGTATATTGCATTATGTAGCTAAAGTGAATGATGCATTTCCAGGAATGCTTGAAAATTTGACTTATTCCATGACTTGATGACCTCTAAACAGACTAAACCTACAGTTGAATCACTATTGTTTGTCCTTTTATAAGTGCACCAGAATGTTTCTTTAGTCCAGACTTGTTATGGAAAAGTTAAAAGTTCATCTGAATGACTAAAATATCTAAAATCAGTACCGAATGGGATTTTGTACATTAACTAGAGTATGACAGCAAGGTAATGTGTTGTGGAGAAGACAGCTCAAGACTTGAGAACTGTTGGCTGCCTTAGATCATAACGTAACAGAGGAAATCAACTTGTGTGACTGTCTGTGAGGTCTAAGAGGGTAACATGGATTTTTCTCATGACTTCAAGTGGGAACATCCACCTTGCTCTCTCTACATACATACGCACAGTATAATCAATCCTTTATATGGAAAGTATGCATATAATCAATCCTTTATATGGAAAGTTGGAAACTACATTGAGGTCCTTTGCTTGGTTTAGGGGTTTAAGGCTTGAACATCAATGCCATTGGTGCGATTTTGAGCCTCAAAGCTTCCGTTTTGTGAATGATCAAAGGTTAGGGTTGTCTTGGGTCCTTCCTTCCTAGGACCCTGCTGAAATGGGACCTAAATTAGGTAATGTCCCCTGTTCCATGGGAAACTACTTTAATGATCTTAAAATTCATCTTTCAGATTACATTGGGATTTCAATTGATGAATGTGGATTTGCCGCATAACATGAAACAACGTACTGGGAAATGATGATGACATTATATTCTTTGGAATTTTTTCATTGTGTTAGGTCACATTTTCATCCGATTTTCACAATTTTGATATACAAAGTCCTCGCATGAATACCAATATGGTTGGAGATCTTAAATCAAAACCAATATGGTTGTTCTTTTGGGCTAAACTTACTGATTTTTTCTTCTCTCTCTCTCTCTCTCGTGTCAATTCTATTCTTTAAGGGATGTTATTGCATTGGTGTTGATTTGCCTGGAGCTTATGCGGTTCTTTGTTCTGGTTATGGTTCTTCTTTTCTAATTTCTGATGGTTTTTAACCATGCTGCAGGAATTATTGTAGCTTATGCTGCTCCAAGAAGACATGGATGTCTAAAGGTAGTGGAGAACAACTATTGTGCCTCAAGAAGGGGTATGTCTTTTATGTCTAAAGTTACGTAGTAGTTCCCTCTGTGATTAATTTTTGGTGCTGCTTGTTGCAAATAATGAAATATATGTGAAGAGAAATTAAACGAGAAAAACACAAAAATATTACGTGGTCCAGCTACTAGGGCCTACGTCCACAACACAAAGAGCTCAAAGGGCTACTTCACTTTTATAATGCTCTCCCAACGCATACACAATACAATGGTGGAGGCTCCTTTATATTGGAGAAGAAATTATGAGAATGGAAAGAATTAGAAAATAGGAAATAAGGAGAATTTTTCTCCACTGATTCCTCTAGTAACACCAAATCTTCAATAATAGGAAACAACATTAATTACTGAAAGATTTTTCCTCCATTAAATCTTCAATACTCCCCCTTAAGTTGGAGCATGAATGCCCAACTTGCCATTGAGATGACGAGTAACAACAAGTGTCAATGATGAAGAGAGAAGACGAAGAACAATGCTTCTGAATACACTGATAGCCCAAACAAGTCAACAAAAAATTGCCGGAGACACGGCAAAGGCAAGGGCAATGTTACCGAACACGCCGGGAGTCCAAACAAGTTGATAAAAACTGCTGGTGACACGGCGAAGATGAAGACAATGCTACTGAACACACCGGCAGCCCAAACAAGTCAATAAAAACTGCCAGAGACACGACAAAGGCGAAGAACATTACCACTGAACCAACCGGCAGCCCAAACAAGTCACAAATAGCACTGAGAAACCCTTAGCAACATTTCAAATGCTAAGGGAATACCCAAAAATAGAGGTCCGAACCTAGAAAGAGAAATTAGGCTCTGATACCATGTTGCAAATAATGAAATATATGTGAAGAGAAATTAAACGAGAAAAACACAAAGATATTACGTGGTTCAGCCACTAGGGCCTACGTCCAAGGCACAAAGAGCCCAAAGGGCTACATCACTTTTATAATGCTCTCTCAACACATACATAATACAATGGTGGAGGCTCCTTTATATAGGAGAAGAAATTATAAGAATGGAAAGAATTAGAAAATATGAAATAAGGAGAATTTTTCTCTACTGATTCCTCTAGTAACACCAAATCTTCAATAATAGGAAACAACATCAATTACTGAAAGGTTTTTCCTCCATTAATTGCTCTTGTTTCATGCCAAATACATGGCCTAATAATACTTATAATTTTTCATTTTTTCCCATTCCAGTAATAATTATTTGATAATGTAGCCTAATTTTTGAAGAATGAGATTAATTTATTTTTTAGGGTAAATGACACACACCTTCCTTGGGTTTATTACACGTGTGTATAAAGAATAGGCAATATTACATTGTCCTCCCCTAAGAAATGACATAGCATTTCACGTAAACACCTCTTGTTATCTTGTCATTAGGGCTATTAACCAGAACTTTTCAATATTCCATATTTTCCCAATATTTGTGTGAAGACATAATTATCCATACCATAGTTGTTAAAGGCGTGCCTAGGTTCCAAAAAAGCCCCAGGCTCGTCAAGGCTTAGACAAAGCGCCTCAACGTACTACAGGCTAAGCCCCTTCAATTAAGCTCATATAAAGCCCTCAAGTTCACGCTTTTTAGTAGCCTCCAGGCTCAAAAAAGGCGCGCATTGTATATATATATATATATATTTTTATCATTTATACATATCATTTTCTTTTTTACTTAATGACTACTAAATTAAAAGGTTCTATATCATATATCGTATCGTTTAACCTTATGAATATTTGACAAAATTCATAAATTTATGGTTCACTACTTACATTAACTGCAATTACTGCTTGATAATATATATAATAATATATGTTTAAATATCCATTATTATATACACGCGCCGTATTTCGATCAGGCTCGCGCCTTATACTGTGCCTTGCACTTAGGCTCCAGAAGGCCTTTGCCCCTTAGTGCGCCTTTAGCCTTTAACAACTATGATCCAAACTTTTGACATGGATTTACTAAATTACCCACAATAAAATAAAACTATTGGAAAACAGCCCATACACCACCCATATAACAACCGTCACCTCTCATTGCCACTGCCCTTCAACTCCGCTCACTATAATGCAGACGTTCTCTCTCTCACACCTCATAATTCAAGCCTCTCATCAATGTCTCTCACATAATTTCTAAGGTTTTACATCCAATTCTTCTTAATCAAAATAGTCAAAGTTAGTCTCTTGAAACCCTATGGTATTCAAACCACAATTCACTCCCAGAGTTTTAACATAACTTGCTCGACCACCTTCTGCAAATTGATTTTGCTGACTGGGTAATAGTCTTGTTAGCAGATGGAGGAAAATCCCTTCTTCTGTCTGGCATGCGAGTCAAACCCATTGAAGTAGTAAAGACGCTCTGTTCTTTTTTTGTATCAACCCTCTCTACTTCTCTGCTATTTTTTTTTTGGATAAGTTTCTTCTTGTCTATTCTCTCTCTCTAAAAACAAAACCTAAATAGCAGTTTCTTCATGTCACTAGAGCTTTGCCGTCCCAAACCACCAATCAAATGGTGAAAGACCCAAATACTTACCATTCTGCCTAGATCGATCATCATGCCTTCCTCGCTTACTGCCGATTTAGTACCCAGCTACCATCACACAACATCCAAAGAACCACCACTCTCCCGAACTGTTGGAAATCTTATCTATAAGTTGACTCAACGATTATGGCAGATTTATTGAGTCTTCAATATAGGCTAATTTTTAGGGATTTTATTTTTATTCTGATTTGATTTTATTCTTTTTATTTTGATTTGATTTTATTCTCTTTTCCATATTTGTAATTTTCCGCTTGTATATAATGATAGTCAGGCTCTCAAATTGAGTACGCCAATTTTACCAAGTTACTTTTTGGTATCAGAGCCTTAAACCTACGCCTCCCCCGTCTCTCTCTCTGTCACAGCCTCTTTTAATATCTCTCTCTATCTCGTTAAAGCCTCTTCCCTATTTTTTTTTCACAGACCTTCTTTCTTTTTCAAGTCGCTGTTGCGACAGTCCTAGGGTGAGTCAATCTCCTCTAGGTTCGACCCCTGTAGGGGTATTCCCTTAGTCTTTTTCATGCACTAAGGGTCAGAAGATGTGTTTGTAATTTTTTGGGCTGCCGGGATATTCGGCAGCATTTTCGAATCAGACCGCCGTGTCTTCGGCTTCTTGGTTTGATCAAAATCAGGTTTATTCCTCCTTTATTTGAAATTATTGATAGTCTGTTGGATTGATCTATTTAATATTATGGCTGAATCAAGTAATAATAAAGAAACTCTCTTTTCGGCGCAACACACACCGGCTCAACGAGTTACTAGTATGCTGTTGAATGGCCGTAATTTTGCATCCTGGACTCGTTCCCTCCGCCTCTATGTTGGTGGAAAAGGCAAATCAGGGTGGATTTTGGGTACTGAAAAGAGGCCAGATATTAAAGATCCTAAATATGCTCAGTGGGATATGGACAATTGCACCATTTTAGGATGGATGTTTAATTTTATGGAGGAACGCATTTATAATATATTCATGTTTTATGACTCTGTTAATGACTTGTGGACTGCTTTGAATCAAATGTATGCTCATTCTAGGAATGATGCTCGTATTTTTGAATTATATCAAGATTGCTAAGGCCTCGCAGGAAGGCCTGAATTTGTCCGTAACTGATTATTTTGGGTATTTGAGATCTCGTTGGGAGGAACTAGCTCAATATGAGCCTCTCAGTGAATTTCCTTCTGAGGCAGCCTCTCTTCTTGTCAAACGTCTTGATCGTCAGCATACCTATCAGTTTTTGATGGGATTACGCCCATAATTTGAACCACTAAAGTCTCAGATCTTGAATGCATCACCAATGCCATCCCTGTTGGAAGCCTTTGCTACTGTTGATGGTGAAACACGCAGGCATCGTTTAATTCAGCCCTCAATTGTTCCTGTACCAGTGTTTGAGCTTGCTGGGGATAGTATGGCTTTTGCAGCCAACTTTGGATCACGAGCTTCTGGAGGTCAGATTATTTGACACCATTGTGGAGGGGTTGGACATGTTAAGGCTCGTTGCTTCAAACTTCATCCTGAACTGAAGCAAAAATTTTCTAGGAACCATTTATCTGGAACTGGTTCTTCTCGTACTGCGGCTGTTGCAGAAACTCCTGTTACTACTGGTGGATCTACTGTATTTCCTGGATTGAGCCAGCTTCAGTCTCAGATTGGGCAGATCCAGGACCAGCTTGGCTCCCTTGCTTCTAGAGTTAGTGCTCCTTCAACTGCTCCCACTGCAACTATTGCTACAGGTACTCCTATTGCATTTCATGTTAAGGCCAAGCAGCCCACTTGAGTTCTGGATTCTGGGGCCAATGATCACATGACTGGTGAGTTATCAGTTTTTTCTTCTAATGTCATACCTGTTACCCAATCTGTGTATCTTGCGGATGGCTCTACATCTTACATTCACAGTAAGGGTGATGTTTGTCTGTCTCCTGATATTACTCTTTCATCTGTCCTTCATGTACCTAAATTTGCCTTTAACCTTTTATTTGTTAGCCGGCTTGCAAAAAACCTCCAATGTGCAGTTATATTCTTACCGGATCACTGTTTGCTGCAGGACCTTTGTTCGAAGAGGATTTTTGGCAGGGGTTATGAGCGTAATGGGCTTTACTACTTTGGGGAACCACCAGGAACGAGTCTTCAAGCTTCTGTCCTACCTACTTATAGTGTTTATGATGTTTATTTTCGCACTTTTAGTCTGTAGCATGCACGTTTGGGGCATGTAAACTTTCAATATCTATGTCTATTGTTTCCTTCGTTAAATAAAGCATGTAAGGACCATAAGTTTCAATGTGAAGTTTGTGAGCTTTCTAAACATACTAGAACTAGCTATATTTCTCATATGAGTCGTGCTCCTAGTATGTTTGATCTTATTCATTCTGATGTTTGGGGCCCTTCCCCAGTTACTGCTTTATCTGGACATCGATATTATGTGACATTTATTGATGATTATTCTCGTTGTACTTGGGTTTATTTATTGAAAAAGAAATCTGATGTGTTTCTTTTATTTACCCAGTTTCTTCAAATGATCAAAACCCAGTATAACACTGTTGTCCATAATATTCGTTCTGATAATGGAGGAGAATATGTTTCAAATGAGTTCCGGTCTGAACTTAATAAAAAGGGGATTTTACATCAACTCACTTGCCCCTATACTCCTGAGCAAAATGGCGTGGCTGAACGCAAAAACCGTCATCTTATGTCTGTGGTCCGATGTCTTCTGAGTGGTATGCATGTGCCTAAATTCTATTGGCACATGGCTGTTCTTACAGTTACTTTTCTGATTAATCGTACTCCCAGTCGAGTTTTGGGTGGTAAGGCACCACTTCAGATTCTCCAGCCTGATTATACATTGTTTCACCTTCTTCCTCGTGTTTTTGGCTATACTTGTTTTGTTCATAACCGTAGTCCTTCTCGCCATAAACTTGATGATAAATCTATTAGGTGTATTTTCTTGGGGTATTCTGCTGTGTCAAAGGGCTATCGTTGTTATGATCCTGTGACCAAACATATGTATCATTCTCTTGATGTGACATTTCATGAAACTGTTCCTTTTTATAGTACTAATTCTGTGGTACAGGATTCTCTCTCTTGTGATCTGGAGAAGGAGATTTCTCTTATTGCCCGTCCTGTTCCTCTCTTTGAAAATCACACTGTCCTGGAATCTGTTTCTCCATCCATGCCGGGTTCCCCTCCACCTTTACAGGTCTACTCTCGTCGCCATCGCACTCAACCTCCCCTGCCAGAATCATCTTTAGAACCAGGTCCAGGTAAACTCTCCTTCTCCTATTGCTCCTACAATTCCTAAACGTACCTCCCGTTATCCTACCCGTGATCGTCATCCTCCTAATTGGTATGGTTTTTCTAGTAGCACTAACCACCCTATTTCCCAGTATGTCTCCTATGATGGTCTTTCAGGTGCATATAAATCCTTCCTGGGCAAGATTGGGACTGTTTCTATTCCTGGATCTGTGTCAGAGGCCCTCCAGGATCCCAATTGGGTGTCTGCCATGACAACAGAAATGGATGCTTTACACCATAATAATACATAGGAACTTGTTGCTTTACCTTTTGGGGAGAAAACGGTTGGCTGCAAATGGGTCTTTAATGTGAAGTACTTAGCCGATGGTTCTATTGATCGGTATAAGGCTCGGTTGGTGGCAAAAGGCTTTACTCAGATTCCGGGCAAAGACTTTAGTGCTACCTTTGCTCCTGTGGCTAAGTTGACGTCTGTGCGACTGCTTGTCTCCTTGTCTGCTGCCCATTCTTGGCCTTTGCATCAGTTAGATGTCAAGAATGCATTTCTTAATGGAGACTTACTTGAGACTATATATATGGATCCACCCCCTGGATTTCGGGCTGAGGGGGAGTATGCTGGGAAAGTCTGTAGGCTACGGAAGTCTCTTTATGGTCTGAAGCAATCTCCTAGAGCTTGGTTTAGTCGTTTCAGCGATGTTGTTTTATCCATGGGCTTTGTGCGCTGCCACTCAGACCATACTTGTTTTATTCGACGTCGCTCTGATGGTCGTTGCATTATGTTATTGGTATATGTGGATGATATCATTATCACAGGTGATGATGCTTCAGGGATTGCTCAGGCGAAACTTCATCTTCAAAAGTCCTTTGATGTGAAGGACTTAGGTCCTCTTCGATATTTTCTTGGAATTGAGGTTGCTAGATCCCGTCGTGGAATTTCTTTATCTCAAAGGAAATATGTTTTGGATCTTCTTCAAGATACTAGCATGCTTGGGTGTCGACCCGCTTCCACTCCTATGGACCCCAATCTCAAACTCTCTTTTGAGTCAGGGGAATTACTTCCAGATCCATCCGTGTATCAACGTTTAGTAGGTCGTCTTATCTACTTGACTAACACAAGGCCCGATTTGACGTTTGCTATTAGTGTGATTAGTCAATTCATGCATGCCCCTCGCTCAGCTCATATGGATGCAGTCTACCATATTTTGAGGTACCTTAAGTCGTGCCCTGATCTTGGTCTGTTCTATGCCTTAGGAAATCAGTCTGGACTCTCATGCTTTACTGATGCAGACTATGCTGGATGTAAGACAGATAGACGTTCTACCTCTGGCTTCTGTACTTTCTATGGTAATCATCTCATATCATGGAAGAGTAAGAAGCAGGCTGTTGTTTCTAGATCCTCTGCTGAAGCTGAATACCGAGCTATGCCTCAAGGTACTTGTGAGCTCCTTTGGCTTCAATCAATTTTGGGAGAGTTGGGTCTTGTGCAGAAAGGTTCTTCAAGGCTGTTTTGTGACAATAAATCAGCCATTATGCTTGCTTCTGATTCTGTTTTACATGAAAGGTTGAAACATATTGTAATAGACATTCACTTTATTCGAGAGAAGGTTCGATCAGGTATCATTAATCCTATTTTTATTCCTTCTTCAGAACAGACTGCAGATGTGTTCACAAAGTCTATTGGACCTTCTCTTCTCCAGTCTTCCATAGTCAAGCTGGGCTTAGTCAACATATTTGCTCCAGCTTGAGGGGGAGTGTTGGAAATCTTATCTATAAGTTGACTCAACGATTATGGCAGATTTATTGTCACAAAACAGCCTTGAAGAACCTTTCTGTACAAGACCCAACTCTCCCAAAATTGATTGAAGCCAAAGGAGCTCACAAGTACCTTGAGCCATAGCTCGGTATTCAGCTTCAGCAGAGGATCTAGAAACAACAGCTTGCTTTTTACTCTTCCATGATATGAGATGATTACCATAAAAAGTACAGAAGCCAGAGGTAAAACGTCTATCTGTCTTACATCCAGCATAGTCTGCATCAGTAAAGCATGAGAGTCCAGACTGATTTCCTGAGGCATAGAACAGACCAAGACCCGGGCACGACTTAAGGTACCTCAAAATATGGTAGACTGCATCCATATGAGCTGAGCGAGGGGCATGCATGAATTGACTAATCACTCAACCAAAACCTATCACATTAAGATCCCAAGCTGTTCACCATAACCAAATCTGCACCACCTTAACCCCCAAACAGGACCAACACTGAGCAATGTCACTGAAGCCCCAATCATCAAAATTTGTGGTTAGGACCAAATCTATGAGAAAGAAGAGAGATCTAGCCCTAATTAAATTTCTAAAATTGGGAAAGTGGTGACACTAGAAAGGGATGATAATGTTAGATATAGAGACTGGTAGCGGTGATGGTGTCAGATGATGCTGGTGCTCCCATATTTGGTTAGTTGTCTAGTGATTTAGGGTGGCGGATGTTTTGAGGGCTTTTACTATTGATGTTTTGGTTCCAGTAATGGAGGTATAATAGTGGAGCAAGTGATGGTAAAGGTTTTTGTTCTAAGGGGCTGTGTTGCTATGATGTTAAGAGGGGTGAGAGTGATAGTATTATCATGTTATGGCAGTGAACTGTCTGGACAAAGTTTTAGCGAGAGTTTGGTGAATTTTTTGTTACGGATGTCTCCTCAGCCATGGAAACTTGAGGGGAAGTGCTGTTAGGCCCCCAGATTTCATTAATATTTTTCTCATTCACACTCCAAATCTGAGGTGTGCACTGTAACAAATTCTAAATACCAAACCAACATACAAAATGTGGACAATTAAATTAAAATAATATTCCAAAATCCAACCACTAGGAAATCTTTCCTGCATCAAGAGTTCCCACAGTCTTCTCAACTGAGGAAATAAAACCTAACAGAAATTATAACAATATTCATGCGTCATCAATATCCAAGTGTCTACAATTGACCATCCAATTATGGCTCAATTATAACCTAAAAGGATAATAGGAGAGTGAGTTCACATCACTAATAGGATTACTGATTTCTATTCGATGTTGTTCATAGAATCTGTTGGATGGAGACCTTTGCTTGCAGGGCTTCAGTTTGATGCTATCTCGAGTGAGGAGTGCTATGTTCTGGAGGAGCCTTTTTCTAAAGAGGAAGTTTTGATTGTTTTGAGGAGCTGTAACGGGGATAAAGCCCCAGGTCCAGATGGTTTTTCCATGAGATTCCTTTTGGAGTGCTGTGAGGTGGTTCGAGAGGAGGTGATGGGCACTTTTCATGCTTTCCATATTGGGGGCTCTTTTGAGAAGAGTTTGAATGCCACCATTGCTCTCATTCCAAAAAAGGGAGGGGCGCTGGATATCAGAGATTTTCGCCCAATTAGTTTGCTGGGGTGTATTTACAAGTTGATTGCGAAAGTCTTGGCTTCTAGGTTGAGGAAGGTTTTGGATGGCGTTATTTCAGACTCTCAGAATGCTTTTGTGGGAGGTCATCAGATTTTGGATTCAGTTCTCATTGCCAGTGAGTGTGTGGATTCCAGATTGAGTAGTGGGGTTCCAGGTGTGTTGTGCAAGTTAGACATTGAGAAGGCGTACGACCATGTGAGCTGGAGCTTCCTCCTTTACTTGATGGAGAGGATGGGGTTTGGAGTGCGTTGGAGGATATGGATTCTTTTTTGTATTTCTAGTGCTCGCTTCTCGGTCCTTGTGAATGGAGCTCCGACGGGATTCTTCTCTAGTTCGAGGGGATTGAGACAAGGGGATCCACTTTCTCCTTTCTTGTTCCTTTTGGTGATGGAGGCTCTAAGTAGATTGATGAAGAGGGCTATTAAGTTAGGTTTTTTTGAGAGGTTTCAGAATGGGAAGGGATGCCGCTAGTCTGTTGGAGATCTCCCATTTGATGTTTGCTTATGATACTTTAGTGCTTTGTGATGCGAATGCGTCACAACTAAGGTATTTGAAATGCGTTTTGATGGTTCCAAGTTGTGTCTGGCCTTAAGGTGAATGTTGGTAAGAGCGTGTTGGTGCCGGTTGCGGAGGTCCCAGAGATTGAGATGTTTGCTTAGATTCTTGGATGTCGCACTGGCTTTTTTCCCATCTTTTACATAGGTTTGTCCCTGGGAGTTCCTTCGAGGTTGTTGGGAGCTGGGATCTGGTTGTGGATAGGTTTAAGAAAAGGCTGGCGGGTTGGAAGAAGCAGTACCCTATGTTACACGGACTCGGGTGTGAGTGTTGGACACGGGTACGTGTCTAGAGGTCGGATCCATCTATCTCTCAAATTATAGGACACGGGGACACGGAATATAAGTGTCCAAAATTTGGACACGGGTACTTGGACACTTCATATATGTTGTACAAAGGAGCTGGGAAGGCCCGAAAGTCGGTCCAAAATAATAAAGGCCCAACAATAATTCAAACACCCAAATAGCTTAGCCCAAAGAATTTGTATGTGTGAAATGGATGTGGGTTACAGCCGTTACCCACAGCTGTAATATATATAATAATATAATATTATAATGATGGTACATGAAAGCCTCCTCCAATTATAAAGCCACTGGCATGTTAGTGGACTTGTCTGACTTGATTGTTGATGGGTGATAAAAGAGAATGGGCCCCCCAAACCACTTACTTGGAAGTAGTAATATAATATTATACTGTAATTATTGCTGTAATATAGTACTATATAATGTTATAATGACTGATAGACAGCTGTTACCTATAATAATATAATATTACAATGATGATCCTAGCCTAAAAAACAGTGAGCACGGGAGTATTAAAAAATGTATATACATATATTATATGAATAAAAAATTAAGGCACAAATTTCCCTGTCTTCCACAAATCTGTCTTCAACCTTTGTAAACTTTAAACCAGAGATAACCAGGACTTCAAATCAGAGAACCAGGGAGCTCCGCACAATTTCCGATTAAAAAATAGAGTGTCCGACACGAGTCCCGTGTCCGTGTTCGTGTCATGTCGTGTCGTGTCGACACGGACACTCCCGCCAATTATGGAGAGTCCAGGTAACACAGGCAGTACCTTTCCAAGGGGGGCGAGTCACTTTGCTTAAGAGTACCCTTTCATGCCTTCCCATTTATTTTATCTCTCTTTCAGATTCTTTTTTTTGTGGCTGAGAGAATTGAGAGGTTGCAACGCAATTTTCTGTTTTGGGGGGGGGGGGGGGGGGGGGGGGGGGGGGGGGGGGGGGGGGGAGTTCAAGTTTCATTTGGTTCATTGGGAGCAGAGTTGTAGTCCGATCCGGAGTGGAGGTTTAGGGATTAGGAGGTTGGTGCCCTTTAATAAGGCTTTTCTTGGGAAATGGTTATGGAGGTTTGGGGTGGAAAGGCATTGGATGTGGAGGAGGATAGTCGCGAGTAGGTTTGGGGAGAGTAGCGGTGGGTGGAGCTCTCTGGAGGTGCGTGGTCCTAGGGGGGTGGGGGTCTGGAGGTTCTTCATTCGGAAGGGATGGGATGAGTTTTCCAAACATGTTCATTTTCGGATCAGGGATGGTAGGAGAGTCAGGTTTTGGGAGGACCCTTGGTGTGGGGAGCTTCCTCTTGCTCTCACTTTCTCACGGATTTACAGAATTGCTTCTGATAGGCAGGCCATGGTGGTTAACTGTTATCATCTTGATAACGGGAGACTGTCTTGGGATGTTCAGTTCAAGAGGCACTTTCAGGACTGGGAGATTGAGCGTATTTTGGAGTTGTTATACCGTCAGGTGATTGTGATTGGGGATTCTGATTGTTGGCTTTGGGACCCTAACTCTCAGGGCCGCTTTGAGGTTCGGTCCTTCTTTAGGTGTCTCACGGCTCGTTCTAGGGGCTATTTCCCTTGGAAGTCTATCTGGCGCTCCAAGGCTCCTCTCAAGGTGCCTTTCTTTGCCTGGACTTCTGTCTCGGATAGGATTTTAACCCAGGATAATTTGAGGTGGAGGAATCAGGTGGTGGTTAATCGCTGTTACTTGTGCCTGCGTGATGAGGAGACAGTGGATCACCTTCTTTTACATTGCAGTATGGCTAGGGACTATTGGGATTTGATGCTTGGGTTATTTGGGATTCCTTGGGTCATGCCTTGATCCTCTAGAGGGTTGATTGAGGTTTGGAGAGGTTTTTCAGTTGGGGCTCTCATTCGGGATGCTTGGAGGGCTACGCCTTTTTGTATTTGGTGGTGCATTTGGCTTGAGAGAAATTGGAGATATTTCGATAG